ATTGACCCTCCTGCTTTTTGCTCCAAAGAACATGCTATTTCTGGAGGTGTTTTAAAAAATAAAACCCAAGCAAGCGTTCTCATGTCCTCTCCACTTCCCAAAGCTAAGGCAAGCAGCCTGTTTGAGTGGCCCTTCCATGCACGTCGCCCTCTGGGTCCTGGCACTTGCAAACAACTCTGCACTGGCCCCATGGGCTGGCCTGGCACCAAGCACGAGCAGAGCAGCAACCACAGCGTGCAGCTCAGCACACTTGAGCTCCAATAAACCTGTCAGACTGCGCAAGACATGAATCATATGGACTGCCACAACAGCAACCCAGCGTGTGCAGCCCTGCTAAAACAAACAAACAAACAAACAAACAAACGTAAGACATCTCAAAACACAGATGTAGGTAAAAGGCACTCTCCTGAGGCTGCCAGTGCAGTTACACTACAAGGCTTCCTGGAAAAATATACTCTCTCCTGACTTGTGACAACTCAGGAATGCTTCAGCAGAGCTGTAGTAGGGGGCTGTGGGAAGCAGGACCAGCACAGTCTCTACCCACTGGGAAACTGGACCCTGACCAAGCAAAGGCCTGGGTTCCTCAGGATGCTGGAAGTGAGACAAAGCACCTCTAGCAAAGGCTCACCGGTCACTGCAGGATGTGGCTGCAGAGGTTGCTCAGGGTCTTTTGGAAAACACATCTCCAAGTGCACTTAGTCAGCTGGAGGTGCTGCTTCTCTCACACTGGCTGGGAAGTTATTCAGGAGAAACAAAAGCATCTTTTCCTGCTTAAAGTTTTCCTGTTGTCCTTGGTACAGCCATGAGGCTGAAGCGTGGAAATAATGCTACAAATGCATCTGAGGGACTTGCATGCTGCCTCAACCCTACAGGGCAGCCTTGGGAGTGGATGACTGCTCCATCCATGCTTGTGGGCCATCAGGAGACACCATTTCACACCCTGAACCTGTGACTGCACTTTGGATGTACACGTATTTTTCACCTGTATCATTGCAATACAGTCAATGGGTATAGTGACCATTTCTTCATTTTGTTTTCCTCCCTGCTATTTAATGATCTTGCTGTGTCACCTCATAAGCCACAGCTCTCCAAACACTTGCAGACACCCCTCACCTTTCCAAACAGCAGCTGCAAGGCTGTGACCCATGAGATGAATTAAGCAGACAAAAGCACAGGGGAAAGGTTTATGGGCAGTCTGTTTGGTTTTCCTGGCAGATCCAATCCAGAGACTTCAGCTTTTCCAGGTGACAAGTGTCTTCCAAGACTGTGTCTGCATCACAAAGTATTCTATAAAATCTTTATTTAACTGCTCCCCTAGGACTGCTGGCTAGACCCTCACACTACTGCCACATGTGCCTGTGTCTGAGTTTAAGCACATGAATTGTCTGAACAGACTTCATCAGGACAACTCATGTCCTGAAAGCCCACTACATGTATAAACGTTAGCAGGAACAGTGCATTAATCATCTGCTCTTGGGTTTTGAAAGAGAATTTGTGCAGGGAAAAAAAAAGCAAAAAAAAACCTCCATAAAACTTGTGGGCACAATTCAGGTATCCAAGTGATGCATTAATCTAAATTAAACCCCTCTCCTGCACTCTCCCTTTTAAAAAAAGCACGTTCTTTTCAACAAGTGTATAATATGTACTTAACTGCTGTTAACTGATTTCAAAAGAAATCCTGTGGAAGGTAAAGTCTCCAGTGCCCATCCCACAAGCAGCACACTCAGAAAAGCTACATTTGGTTTTCTTGCAGATTTTTCCTTCCCTTCCTTTTCCATGACTAGCAATATGCATAGAAAAACATTCTCTGCTCTTGACAGAGTGGCTGCTGCTGCTGCTGCACGTTCTCCACCTGGAGTGAAAATTCTCCGTTGTCACGGCAGCCAACAGTGATGTCACAGACCAAGTATTGTGACTTCAGCTGGAAAAGGGGAAGAGGGAGCAGATGAACTCTGAAAACAAAGATATTGTTTTGGTGTAAACAGCCTTCACAGAAAAGAGGGGGGGAAAAAAAGAGGTATATATGAACATCTGACAATTATAGTTTTCTCAAAGAAGTATAAATATACAAAAAATAGAGTTCTCTCTACGCAAATGTTCCAAAAATCCAACTAAGTACTGAAAGAATTGTCATTTTGTTTCTGTTCTGTTAAGAAATGGGACCCCTTTTAAATTTTGAAATACACATTTTCTATTCCTTTATTTTATTTTATTTGCTTTTGTTTTTAAAACCTTCATGTCTGGTCATTGTCCCAGAATAAGCAATCAGCATTGATTAGAAAGAAATAAGTTTCAGGAAATAATGCACATTTCCAAATGTTACATTAATCCACAGGCAACTTGCAAATACTGCCTTAATTCCTGTGTGAGGGTAGTTGTTTTTCATATAGGTCACATATTAATGCAATTTAAAAAAAAAACTTCATTCCACCTTTACACTGAAATCCAGAGGTTGTAATTACACCCAGGGGCAGGAATAAATTAAAACAAGTGCTTGTGTTGCCTTGTACTCTTTTTTGGAAAGAAAAGTGATCCCATCTACTCTGCCTTATGTGTTCTGCAGAATGCTTGAAGTCGGCCGAGTGGCTGGCAAAGAGGTTTTCATGAGGTCAGAGGTGACAAGAAGTCACTTTGAGAGGTCAGAAATGGAGTAACACGTCCGATGGTCTAACATGTACCAGATCTTCAGTGGGGAATGCTATCTTCAGTACCTCACCTTGTGCCTCACAGAACATCTTCAGGCTGTGGCACCCCTGAGCTCTGGGGAGGGAGGAGCCAGGCACCTCATGGGCTAGGGAAGAGAGGGAGGGAGGAAGGAAAACACAATATCCTAATGCTTGAAGAACTGCAATAACCAGCCAGTGCTGGCAAACTGATGTCTGTCTTGACAAACCTTTCTGAAAATTCACATGCAGAAGAGGGGAAATACTGGTAGGACTTCAGTTATCACCTTCTCAGGGGACATTGCAAACAATAAGCAGTTCCCTCCCCAAAGTACCCTAATGACATCCCAGCTTTACAAAAAATTATGCTTGAATATTTTTTCTGAAATATAAACTTGCCGTGCACAGTCAAAATGAAAAGAAATATAGGGCATTTTAAAGAGAAATTCCTTGGGGAAATGCAACTGTGAAATAGCCAAACATCAATTATGAAAACCACATGAAGAAGAGGCTCTTGTGCATGGGCTTTAGGGTTTAGGGATTTCAAGAAAATGTGCATCCTAGTTTGACTCATAATGTAGGCAGAGAATGAGCAACTTTCCTCAACTTAAAAACAGCTCAGTGAGGCTGTAACCCTTTAAAGTCACAGTATCTATACAACTTTCTTGTATCTCATAGCTCCCAGCTGATGGCAATCTTTGCTTTCCATGCCCAATTCCTCCACAGGACTGAAGTTACAGGCTTACTCTCATCCTAAATTAGTGCAGGAGAATTAGAGCATGGGCAAACTTCTCTTGAGGTGTGCACTGCAGCCACCCCAGAGCTTGCTCACTGGTGCCATTATCACTGTCTCAACTGCAAACCTTCAACCAGAGCCTCCTCCTCCCCTGCTGCTGCCTGCCTACAACTCTGAACAGGCTATGGGCAGCAGCGCTTCCTTCTACCTGAGGGGAGAATATAAATGGAAGGAAAGCAAAATGTAACAAAGTGAACAAAGGCAGAGAGATTTGGGGTTGATTTTGCCTGTGAGTCATGGCCAGATCATTTTCCCAAGCTTAAAGATTATGGTCTCATGCATGTACCATTTGGGACTTCCACAGGGCAGGATCTGGAAGAGAGAGAAACCAGAGCTGGGAGCACCCAGGGTAAAATCAGGAAACACCTTCCCACATGACCCAAAGAAAAAGCATTGTCATGATCTTGCTCTTCCTTAAAAAGCTTGCAGGTCTGTTAGTTTGTGGCATTGCTGTTTAATGGTACAGAGCATTACTAGAGAAAAACAGCATAAACTAGACAGTTGTCATGAAGGAAAAAGGGTATCTCAGTTAATTTGTGGTTTTCCTCCAACACTGAACTTCTACCTCGAGGGTCACACTTGCTCCTACATGGATAAAAGCTGGATATGTCTGGATAGAAGGCTTCACTAATTTTTCCTCTGTGATGACAAATGGCACCAAACGCTTTCCTGTCTCTTCTCCCAGGAGCAACAGCTGTTTATTGTTCCTCACTCCCACTCTGTATGACCAAACAACTACACAGAAAATGGAGACAGGTGAAAGCAAGCCTATTTAAAGCTGCAAATCAAGAACACAAGGCTTAGGCAAACTCAGCTTTAAGGCTGCCTGTGCAACCTTCGACCCTCTTTCTTGCCCATGTGCCATGGCAGAGCCGTTAATCACATAATCACAGGCTATTTTTCCACAGGACCTTGGCCTCACCCAGTGCAGCAGGATCTGGGGTGCTCACCTACTGAGAACCCAGTTACTATTTCATCTTCTCCGTGCTGTTGGAGGTGTGGCCTCAAGCCTTGTTTACTGCGTACCTGCCACACTCTGTTCTGCAGACAGAATTAGTAATTTACTCATGGCCCTTCCTACAGTACATATCATTAGAGTAACTGAATGTTTCACAAGCATAAAAGAATGTATTTGCACACCATCCTTAAAGTAAGACATTGTATTATCCATATGTCATGGGCAGGGAAGCAATGCACAGGGAGATTAATGTGAAAAGCTTCCACTAGTTTTAAATGCTTATTTGAATATTTATTTGTACATTTGTTATATTTAACATGCATAAAAAAATTCAAGAGAGGTATAAAATAGCTGTTTTCTAAATATACATTCCGAGGCAGGTAGCTGGGATGGAAAATTTCTGCCCAGACAGTTTAAGTTTAGTAAAGTTGTGAACAACTGAAAATGAAGGTCTTAAAATAGGGAAGCTGTTGGATGGCCTCAATAGCAGGTCATTGCCATAACATACACTTTTCTTTCTCTTCTTGGTTGTTGAAGAAGCAGATGTTACACTAACAGAATCAAGTCAAACTGAAACACAAACTGTAGCTAGAACTTTATTTTATATCCTGGTTCTGTTCAGATAAACAAGATCAATTTATTTTTAACTTTAACGCATAACAAAGTCTTGTTACTCAATTCCAAACAGGGACTTTTGCTTAGAGCATAAGCCCCACCTTTCCTCCTGTTCTCTCGGAAAGAGAAAGCAAGTGTCAGGCACTGCAGGCATCACTGGTCATAAGCTGGATATAGGACAGGCAGATGGACAATACTCAGAGGTAGTGAATCTTACATTGGCATAAACTGATCCTTCCCCTGATTATTTGCAGGGAGATTCACAAATTCCTATAAGGAAAAAAACAGAAAAACAAAAAAACAAACCCATCTGAAAATTTCAGGCGGTGATTTTATCTGTGCCAACACCAGGAAAGAAAGACAGACAGACAAAAAGACAGACGGTGGGGGGGTGGGAATAATTCAACTAACTGCTTGTGCCAGCCTTCTTCAGAGCAATGAAGTAATTTTAGAGACACTTCTTCAGGAGCGTAAAATCTAACCTTGCAACTGTGCACAGGACTCAGGACACACAGACACGCACAGACACACAGACAAAGAGGACACTGGACAACAGTGTGGGAGCTGGCAGAACTGGTTCCTCCATCACCTCAGGAACATGCAAGGACAACCTCAGGATAACTCCTGACAACTCCTCCTTGCCACCCAAGCTGTATTCCCGGCAAATGGTGTTACTAACAGCTCCTTCCCCTGACACATACCATACCCACATAGAGAGGAACACAGACACAATTTCTCTGTCCTGCACTGAAAACTCTCACCATATATCCCTGCTTTTGAGCTAGTCATGTCTCCTGACTGCACTAACTTTGACTAATTTAGTATTTTTAATTACAGAGGGATTTACAGCACTGCACTACAGTGCTCTTTTTTATTATACCCACTGTTTCTGCTGAATCTGAGTACACTCTACATACAAAGTTGCACATTAGGCAAATTACACTGCACATTAAGTAAATCTCTCTCTAGAAATAGGATTAGATGGAGAGGCAAATCTTCCTCATTCCTAGTGCATAAATTAATATCTACAAAATCAATATAAAGTAAGAGCTTCATATCAATTCATGAAAAAAAAATAGTTAAAACATACTCCACAATCAAACAAATTTATGTAGGAGATGCATTTTTCTTCTCCTATTTTGCTTAATAAATAAAACAGCTGGTCCGAGGAATCAGGTCAATCAGTGTCTGGAAAAAGCCCCATTAAAGCTGCTATATAACCTAGTTTCTCAAGCTGCATGAGACATCCTAATACTGAAGAGGCAGAAGTCCATGCAGAGACAGCACGGAAGGCTCAGCTTCTGGCCCTTCAGGGTTATGGAGGATGTTTATCACAGAAGTCAGCAATAAGTGAGGTATCTTGCAAAGATCTAAGGAGATAGGCTCTGAAGGACCACAACAAAGACAACATGATGCATCCAGACTTATATATAAAACAGAGCTAGTAATCTTGAGCACCTAAGTTCATGTCATCCAACATAAGGAGATGGTAAAGGTCCAGATTTTCACATGTGTTCAGATCCCCTCAAAGCTAGCCTAGCCCTGCTGCCACAGTGGGTGATAACACCTCTTCTCATGGCACTCCACAGCTACACGGTTCCATCCCTCCCATGTCACGTGGGAGGGCGAATCCGGCAGTGCCCAAAGCTGTGGGTGTGTTTTGCGGGCACAGAGCCTATTCCAGTGCAGGCAAAAACCCCACAGCATCAGCCCTCCTCCTCCTGCACAACACACAGCACACAACACGCAATGCCCAGGCCCTCCTCGCCTCAGAAAAAGTAGCCCTTCCTATATTCAATAGGTTTGAAAATATTTTGCAAAGGGTATCGCAGTCCACATCCTATAGAGATAAAAATGGAGGCAGAAGAAAGTAAAGTGACTTGCTCAGGCTTGAAGAGCAAGGCAGCATCAGAACTGGGAAATGAAACCTCCCGGCCCACAAACCTAGGTTTTAGCTTCTTAAATAAGGATTCTCTTTCCTCATTAAAAACTAAAAATGGGAAGAGAGGGAGGAATATTCTGTAGACAGAATGAACTTCGCCCTCAGAGGACTAATGACCTGATATACTTTTTTTTTTCCCTTCTCACCTCCACTTCCCCTGCTAAAGTTCCAGTAACTTCAAGGACTATCCTTCCTTGGTCTGCTTTAACCTAGTGTGTCAGCTCAGCATCCTTTTCCCAACCAGCTGAAGCCAGAGACCATCCTTCCAAGAGAGGAGATTACCTTCTTGCTTTCAGCCTCTCTGGACATCTTTGCAACATCCTGGACTGGGACTACTCTGCTTTCTGCGTCGTGCTGAGGGACACCTAAGTCCTATCCACTCATCCCTGCCTGAAGTACGTGGCAGCCCAAAAGGGTACCCTGGAGGTAAAACCTGGTTGTTCTCTATTAATTTTTCATTTCAAGAATGGCTCCAGGGAAAGGAGGGAGATATAGGTCAGAGACTTTGGGGGCTGATTAGTAACTCTGTACATCTTCCTTCCTTTTTTTTCCCCCTCAATTTTTTTTCCTCTTCCAAATTCAGAAACAGAGGGTTTTCCCTCCGTATTTCTCATTTACTCCTTGAGCATCATCGGCATTAGTCAGCAAACTCCTGCTATTTCCTCACAAGCCCCTGACACTTGCAGAGTGACTAACCCTCTCTCCACACACTTTGGTTCTAATAGTTGCATCAGGGGTTTTTTTTCCCTCAAGAAAAATGGATCTCAGCGTCGCACACGCGTAGTTCTCCCTGTGGTCACTGTAAGGGTGACAGGTAAGCTCCCGCTGCCAGGAGGCCATAAACGCCACCATTTGTCAAACACAGGGCCAAAGAGCCAGGAGGTGATGGCAGGGCCTGCCTTCAGGTCAGTTCGTACCTCACCATTGCAGTGTCCCTCAAATTAGGAAGAAGGTAGCTCCTGCCCCAAGCACAGGCACGTGAAGACCACAATGGAGGAAGCCTGAAGCCACCTGGCTTCTCTTCCCAGCCCTGGCACCACCTGGTCTGTCGGGGGACACTGCCTTTGCATTAGCCTTTCCTTCCCAGGAACAAGAGCCTCTGCCCCCGTCATGGTGCCTGGTGCCTGACATGATGTGCAGGAGGCCTCAGCTGGGCTGCTGAGACATGAACACGGGGTGAGTGAAAACACAGCTCCTCGTGACTCAAAGCCACCTCATCAGAGGATGACAGAAGGCTCCTTCTGGCCAGGTGGGCTTGCACAAGCTGCCCACCCTCAGCCACACTCACAGAAGACCTCGCACGCAGCTCATGTTCACGTAGGCGTACCCAGAGACCTGCCCACACTGTGCTCTCAGTGCTGCGCTCGAGCACACAGCAAGTTTGTTCTGTCCACCTTTCCAGGGTGATGCCAAGAGCACAAAAACCACTACTGCTTATGTACAACATGCAAAGAGCATGTCTTGCCCCCAAGGCAAGGCCATGCCCTCAGGCGATGGTAGGTGCTACCTGCTGCCACCCACACAGGAACAGCCCACATCCAGAGCAGAGCCCATCAATAAGGATCAGTGGGAAGGCTGGTGAACTTGGTACTGGAGAAGTTTATTCCCCATTTAACCTTGATGCCCTCACCCCAGCACCCACCCCGTTCCCGCCACCCTTACCTCCGTCCCCATTGTAGGAGAGCCGTCTGCATTGCTGTGTAGGGAGGCATGAAAATAAACCACCGGCTCCAGTGCCACACTCCCTCCTGGCAGATCTGTTTCTCTCTTCTTAACTGTTTCCAAGTGCCTGGCTGTTTTATAATCCCCAGTGAGCATTCCCTTAACTCCTTCCTCACTGAGTCCTTCCACTCTCCCTCGCTCCCTCTCTTCGAAAAGGCAGAAAAATCCAAGGCGAGGTAGGGGGTAGAGAAAGCAAAGGAGGGGGCCTGAATCAAAGAGGGAACATCTGAATCAAAGAAGGAACATCTGAATCAAACTGCACATATTAGTCATTTCCCCAGCCTTCTCTTACACAGACAGACTGACTCTCCTGTTAATGTATTTCTTTTTTTTTTTTTTTTCCCATGGACATTTGTGTACCTTAGAAACTTCTTTGCTAATCTCCTCCTGCTTTTTCATACCATGAGGTCATATGCTCCTGCTGGTAGCATGACTTTAAATCACATAGCAGCTTGCCCTTTGGGGTCTGAACAGAAATCACTGTCTTAGATCACAAGTAAATATGAGCTGATGGCTTCAAGCCCAGTGTCACCACCACCGCACTTAAGCATATTGCAAAATTCAAGAATCAAATGCAGGTATCGCTTCCCAGTGGAAAGGACTTAATCATGGCAGGGGCTGTGAGAGGGCCATGCGGAGCAGCTTGGGCAGAGAAGCACATCCTGTTTCCAAGACATGGGACTGCAACTGCCCTCAAGTGACCTGTCGAGGGCCACACATGCTATGGGTGCTAAAGGCTGTGCGCTGCGTGTGTGCTTGCGTGCGTGGCAGTGAGTGCAGATGGTGGGGGAGGGAGTCACTTGGCCTGAGACATTTTGGGAGAGCCACAGGTCATGGCCACACTTGGATAACCACAAGGTAGCGCAGGTCGCTGTGTGCCAGGGTGTGCTGGCAGCACGGCCTGGGGTAGGACAAGTACAGCGACCCAGCAGCTTTGGATTTCATAACCACCATCCGTGCAAAGCAGCGTCACACAACACTCCGCTGTTTACGCTGCCCTTGTGAGTGCATGAATAAAGAAGATGGAGGAAAAAAGCACTGGCTTTCATGTGTCCTCTCTCAGATGGGAACATGACACCTGCAGTTGGCTGCTGCTCTTCCTCAAACCTAAGGCTGCTTCTTCCACCATCTTGAGGTTACCCCTGGCAGCTTCCACTCAAAAGTTTACCAAGGTATCTTTTTCCCTGACAAAATGAGTTATTCTGTCACACAAGGCTGGACCACAAGGCTTTTAAAATCAGTTCTGCTGATGTTGAAAGGGAGCAGCTTGCTGTGCAGAGGAGTGGTAGAGTTAATAGCAGTAGGATCAGCACAAGCTCTTACCCTGCCATCTGCCTTCAGCTCAGCCAGGCCTTCTGCTGAACAGCCAGTGTGGGCTGGGACCACTGGAGTGATCAGCAACTCACTGACATGAAAGACTGCCTGGGTCAGTCGATTAAGAATAAGATTATGAGCACAGGAATCCTGTATAGCGTTGGTACTGACTCAGTTCAAGGATTTCATGGGGCAATTTAAGCCCAGTTTTCCAAACAAGTCTTTTATTTTGCACAGGTGGGTGTCTGTGTGACGGCTTAAACAAACCCCATGAATTGATGACTCCAGAAACAGGGGTCATCTCTGAAACTGCCATGCTTTCTTCTTTGGTGACCCCCACTAGAAAACAGGGATAAATAACACTTAACTGTCTCACTCCCCTGGAATGCTGAAGTCCTTTGCACTTACAGAGCTCTGGAGGAAACACAGGAAAGCCCACCGGAATGGACAGGGATGACTCTCCCAACTGTGGGTCACAGATCCCTCTCGTCCTGCCTTGTGAACTTCTTTTAAAGTGCTGGCCACTGCCAACAGGCCCTGACAAAGGCTGCTCAGCTCTGCTCCTGCACATTCAGATTGACAGCTGCCTCAGAGTTCTCCATCTTTTTTAATAATAGAAGAGTCACTTAAGGCCTGTGGATGACCTGAAAGTACCAAACTGCTGACCCACAATCAAAGCCTGAACCTTCCAGCACAACCATGAAGAGCAGGGCTCCGTCCCTTTGAGGGACGGGGAGGGCAAAACAATTCTGTAGGCCCGTAACAGAATACTGAGATTCCCCCCTGATGTCATATAATTCTGTGGTAGTACCCTACAGCAATTAAAAGGACTGCTGCAGCTGATCTCCAAACCCAGGAGGAGACAGGTGGAGGGAGCAGCAAAAGGGCGCTGGTCTGGAAGTAAAATGGGGAAGATGGGGGATCTGGGATGAGTGAGGGCACAACCTGCCTGCTCTGAAAGCAAAAAGAACAGAGAGGCCTCTCCCTTCACAGATGGGGGGAGGAAAAAAGCAAGACGAGTGAAAAGCCTGGACTTAATCATGAAAAACAATAGCTCATCATTTATTTTCATATCCTCTCACTAATGCTGGCATAATGCTAACAGTGGAATTTTTATGGCATGCATGTCATGCCTGCAAATACCAAGTGAATTACTTCTCAGCGAGGCTATGGGCTATGGCACTGAGCAGCACATTCGTTACAAACGACTGGATGATGAACGACAGTTCCCAAATTCCTCCTTCACAATGCTACTTGCATTAGTTGTAATTTAATGAGTGTGAGAGAGAGAGAGAGAAAGAGAGAGAAAGTTTTGGCTCAAACCACAGAAATAATACTGCCTGCTGCTGCTTCCCACTGGGTCTTGTATTAACTCACACCACCTCCACCTCCTACTTCTCTACCTCCTCCCTTTTCACACCTATCCTCAGGTGCTAAAAGTCGTGTCATGAAACCCATCAGCATGGCAAGAGAGCATGCAGAAGCCCCCAAGCACACACATTCCTTCTGGCTAAAAGGTGGGAGAGAACACAAAGCTCTCCCTCCTCTCTGCCAACAGTCACAGCAGGCTGGGGTGGTTCCTACAGCAGACAGACTCTGTGTAGACAAACCACCAACTCTCCTTTGGTTCCTTCCTCCTAGGGTAGCCAGAGCAGGTGAAAGACACTGACCTGGCAGTTCTGGAAACAGAGCATGACCCACGTTGGTGCGGAGCTCCCACCACACACTCTTGCTAGCATGGTCCTCCTGCCTCCCCAGAGGCAGCCACAGCAGGGTAGCCCAGCCTCATCCTCACCTTGCAGGCTGTCTTAGCTGGTTTGTTGCCCATTTAAACAATTTTGAGATTTGGTACACAGCAATGTGAACAAAACCTTTGCTAGGGGGTAAGGCCTTCAGCAGTATAAATGTGCCATCACTGGTGGCCCCCAGTGAACACGGCAATCACTGCCACGCTGCCTTCCTCCTGAGCTCTTGCATAGATCTTCAGCTTCTTTAGGGCATAAATCAAGCCCCTTTTCTTCACTCCATGGACCTTGACAGAAAAAGGACAGCCACAGCAGCAGGGGCATTTGCAGGTCTCTGCCCTGGAAGGAGCCTGACTGGCCAGTGTCACCTCCCACTCCTGAGGCAACCTTGCAAGAGCCTGTACCCCTTCACCTGACAGGACATTAATCCATCAAATGACCCTGCACATAAGGTTCACACCTGAAACAAGACCCACTGTGTGGGGTCTCATACAATGGGTCAGAAGAAAGCTGAGAGGTCTGATCTGAGCAGCATATTACAAGTAAGATTCTGCAAATATCACTAGTACTCTCCTGGTGTATCCAGTCTCTTCAGTGTTTCCCACTGACAGAGCCTAAATGACAACCAACCACGGATTCCTACCCAGTAGAGCATCCAGAATACTCCTTATCCCTTCTGTGCCAAATGTAATTTAAAGGCCCCCCCTCCCACATTTTGCAGGGTTTTCAAAAAAACCAAATCCAAACAAAATTTACATGTTTCTGAAACAAAGGCATAAGCAGGGGAAGGGAAAATGCCCTTAAGGATTGGAACCAAACGTGTTTGTGCAAATGAGACCCAGGATTTACAGTTACCTTCCAGCCTCCAGCAAGTGCTACAATCTTAGCTTTGACTTAAAAACAATCTGTTTTCTTGTACAGGTTGCAAAACACCAGTGATATTTTCTCTGATCTACTGGCCAAAGTCCCACAGCCCTGGCTGGGAGAGGAAGGTGGACACGATGTCACGGGACACTCCCAGGGACATATGGAGACACAGGTCTGCATGGACACAGAGATGTACAATTGTGCTTCCCAGCAATTCAGCAGGCACAATGCTGGGGGCTACCAACTTCAGAAACTATATGGACACAGATTTGCCCCTTGTCAAAATTCCCCTCCCAAGTCCACTCTGTGGCTTTCTTAAAACTATGGCTGTGCTTTGAGCAGTGACTGGGCTCTGAAATAAATGAAGACATGCCTTGCTGAAGTGACCCTAAGTGAAAGCAACAATACTTGGCACAAATAAATAAACAAGCACCACAGCTGCAAATCAGAAAGGATGAAACAGTGAGCCTCATCAGCCTGCTGTAACTAACCTTGTGCTGATCAGCTCACCCACTCCAGCAGCGTGGGGAGCCATGCATCCCCCAAGGGGCACCAGGTAGAAGGGGTCCCTTTGCAGACCCCCAGTAAGTGTGGGGAGAAGGGGACACAAGCATGAAAGGGAAGTGGAGGGCCTCCTGTGACAAGCCCACCACAATGGCTGTGTGGCCTTTAGGAGCCTGGCAGAGGGGTGCTGTTACCTGCTAACAGCCTGCAAAGAGAAGCAGTGACCAGGCTGGGGTGATGAAAAGCAGTTATCAGGGACAGAACTAAAGGGATGAACATACCTAGACAGATGGAGACCTGCTGGACTGCCAGAACAGGCCTGTTACTGCAACAGCTTCTTTGGGCATACAGTCCAAGCCACAGCGGTTGGAACTGCCAGCCATGATTTATCACATTTGCTGTTTAAAACCCAACCAAATCCAACACATCTGCTGGAACCAAGAAGTTCAGCTGAAGGTTCCTGGCCCAGCTAGGGAGGCAGAGGCTGTCCTGCTCCTTGGTTCCCCTCCTGATAGCTGTTGTGGCTCAGGAAGGGTGAAACTCAGACACAGCACTCAGTGTCACACTTCAGCTCCCTTTAAGCCTTCAAATTAGGGCTTACACGGGGCTTAAGTGCAGCCCGTCCCAACACAGGGTTGGATTTCACAGCTCTCATGTGCTGTTGGGTTGCCACCTCCCACTGAAAAGGGGATGAGTTCCCTGCAGGCAGCCTGGCAGGCAGACCATCCACCCAGATATCCTGAGCAGGGGATGGGGAGCACTTGATCCCCACACCC